ACACCATCTTACAATCACCTTCATGGGAATTCCTCCCTGCCTGCGGGGGAAATCCCCTCTGATTGGCTGCCTCTCCAATACGCCCTCCTGGGGAAGAGCAGCCAATCAGAGCTGCTGCAGTAAGATCTCCTTCCCCCCACTCCCTGCAGTAATGTGACACCTTTCTCACAGGAGGGAACAGGAATTGCTCAGCATCTCAGGGTGGCTTCACTCCCTCTCCCCATCCTGTCCCACACCCAAACTCCCTCCCGGAACCTGTACCCTGCACCCTGTCCCGCTCCCCAACCTCCTGCCCCAGCCCTGAGCCTGTAAGCAGTGGGGACAGGATTGTGCACGTGCTGCCCCCATTCCATGGACATCTGGCCTGGGAGGGGAATAGGGGAGCCTGCTGCAGCCCCCACAGGGCTGGGAGGTGGCGGAAGAACACCAGGAGGTGCAGAAGGGAGGCTGGGGGGGCTAGGAAGAGTTGATGGGCAACTGGCTGGGAACAGAACTGATGGGGTAGAATTAATTGCTGGGCAGGAGATCCCAAATCACCATAGTAAATCTGGGACTGTTGACAACACGGTCACTGTCACTGTCGGGGGAGTTCAGCTATCAAAGGAGACCAGCAATCACAGTCATCTTTAAAAAAAAACCTCATGATCTTAGGGCCAATCTCATGATTTTGGGGTCTAATTCACGATCGCTAACCCTTGGGCTTTGCCCTGTTGCTCCCTGCCCCCCCAGGCTGGACCCGGCCGTGAGGCTGTCAACCCTGGATGTCTCCCACCTCGACCTGATGAACGAGATGTGGCCCTATCAGGGGAACAAGTACAGCAAGAGGTTCCTGGAAAGCCTGATCCACTGCTTCCCCAGCTTCTACCTCCTCAATTCCGTTTACCGCCTTGTCAGCTGGACTGTTTCAGACCCATATGGCGCATTGGGGCGTAGGTTCACTCTCCCCCAGCACCGGGGATGTGGTTACAATGGGGTGCTGAATAATTTGATTGCCAAGCGGTTGCACGCACTAGGCTCTCCCAGCTATGGCCATGTGGCTGCGGACAACTACCCCATGCAGAGGCTGCAGGAGAGGCAGGGCTTCCACCGCCAGCCCAGCCTGTGCCACTTCATCCTCCACAATGCAGCACTGCATAGACCCCCCACGTTAACCCGCAGCCCAGCACCGGGCACACCCAGGCTAGGGCTAAGGGAAGCCAAGGGATGGGGGTGCGGGAGTCTGGGGATCAGTGTTATACCTAGTGGACCCAGTAACATCTCCCAGCTCCAGCCTCACATGGAATCTGCTACCCCCAGCTCCAAAGGCCTTGCCCTTCCCCACAGCCCTGTACTAGCTTTACAGGGTCTGTCCTACTCTTCCAAGCCCCATAACCTGCCCTCCTTGGTGGACCCTATCCCCCCAGACCCATACACACAGCACCCCTGTCCCACTTTCCCTACACTGCCCCATCCCAATTCCTCTTCCAGACACAACAGCAACGGCTCAATGATCTTCCACCCAATCAAGTTACATGCTCACCAGTCTCCTGCATCTGCTCTGCTCTTTCTCCCCTGCTTTCCCTGGGATAGCCTGCTCAGCGTAGTGCATCTCTAACCCCTCCACAGTCGGTGTGTCACCGTCCTCCCACCCTGCCCAGGGCCAGATTAATGCATGGGCTTTCGGGGCTGCAGCCCAGGGCCTCGGGCTAAGGGGGACCCTAGGTGCGGTGCGTTCAGGGAATCTCTGCACACTGCCCCCGCACCCAGTGCCGGCTCTGCAGCTCCCATTGGGTGGGTACCACAGCCAAAGGGAGCTGTGGAGGCGGCGCCTGCAGCACCTGCTGGCATGGACAGTGTGCACAGCGCAGAGGGGCCTGGTGCCTCTGCATAGGGGGCGGACATGTTGGCCACCTCGGGGAGCAGAGCAGCACCCAGCCAGGACAGGCAAGGATCCTGCCTTAGCCCTGCTGCACCGCTGACCAGGAGTCGCTCGAGGTAAGCATCTCCTGGCCGGAGCCTTCACCCCACACTCCCTCCTGCACCCCAATCCCCTGCCCCAGCCCTGAGCCCACTCCCCCACTCCAAACTCCCAAGGGCCCCAAAAAATCTAATAGCCCTGGGCCCACAGGAGAGTTAATCCGGCCCTGACCCTGCCAGAGACATCTCCCCCAGATCTCCCTCTCCCCCATTTCCCTGGGGCTTGTCACATCTCTCGCCATTGCAGCCTGCTCTCATCAGCTCTTTTCCCCTCTTCTGGACAATACAAACCGCAGCAGCTTTAAATGGGGTGGGAGGGGCTAGGCAATCGGTCCCCATTCAGCAACATCTCCTTGAGAGGGGTGTGTTGGGCATGATGTTTCTAACCCATGATGCATCTGGCTAGTCTGCATTGATGCGAACCAGCCTGAGAGTGTTCCCATGCCAAGGATTCCCTCAAGGGCCAGTCTGTCTCAGTAACTCAAGGGTTAAATACCACCCGGGGATATTGATTGTCCTCAAACCAAACTTCACTATCCCCAAGGACTCCTGGCCTGAGGTCACACCCAAAAGCAATCCTGACGTGTTACATTCAGCACCACACAGCCAAGACACTCAAATCCCCTTAACTCCACCCACTGACATCGACCGATAGCAGGAAGCATTTTGGGCTCTGTGATCCCAGCTGCGATTAAACTGATTGTTGACGACACCTTTGAGTATTACCCCTTTGCGGCGGCTCTCCCTGGCACGGCTGGGACCACGCGGGCAAGGGGGAAGGTAGAATTACAGCTAGGGCCATACAACAGTTTCCCATTTTTCAACCTGCTTTTCAAATGAAATTTTCCCAAAAAAGGTTCTGCTTATTCTCAGTGTCGGCTTTGTGTCCAGACACTGAGGGCCTGAAAACCAAAGTGTTCTGGGTGCGTAATCTGGTCTGCGGGGTGGTGCCTGCAGCAACAAGGGTCAGGTCAAATATCCAGGGCTTCCTTTTGAAAACTAACCAATAGCCGCCCCACCAAATTTCTAGGATCACTAAATATTTTCCCTTTAAAAGTCAAACTGAGTGTGTGTGAAACAAGAGCTTTGTTAGAGGGGATGGTGAAACCAGCACCCAACTGGGGAGAGCACAGCAATAACAATCACCTATCTGTACTCACCTATCTATACTTATGAATAATAAGTAAACACCCAGTCCTGTCCCTTAGTGTCTCCAGCTGTGTCCTCTGATTCAGTTCCCCGCCCAGAACCACTGAACAGATGCCCCTTCAGCAGTGGTTTCCTCCTTCCGCTTCGATCCACTCATGGTTTGCTGTCAGTTGTTGGCCTCATCCCAGAGCCTGGCATCAGACAGGCCTGTGCCCTATCCTTTGAGAAACGCCAGCTGGGCCAACCCCCAGGCTCCACCACTAGCCACCTGCCCCATGCCACAGCTCTGCCAGCCACAATGGTCCCCCAAGCAGTAGTGCAAAGTGGTGAGCCTGGGGGCTAGCCTAGCTGGCATAAGTACAGATAGGTGATTTCAGCCTCATTTGCGTGGGGTAAGGGAGGGCTGCCCAGGGCTCCCTCAAAATCTGACACCCCTCCCCCCATGCCTCTGGCAGATCATGGCACCATGATGGACATAAACTGCAGGAACTTATGAGGAGACTTATGAGGAGAGGCTGAGGGAACTGGGATTGTTTAGTCTCCAGAAGAGAAGAATGAGGGGGGATTTGATAGCAGCCTTCAACTACCTGAAGGGGGGTTCCAAAGAGGATGGAGCTCGGCTGTTCTCAGTGATGGCAGATGACAGAACAAGGAGCAATGGTCTCAAGTTGCAGTGCTGGAGGTCCAGGTTGGATATTAGGAAACACTATTTCACTAGAAGTGTGGTGAAACACTGGAATGCGTTACCTAGGGAGGTGGTGGAGTCTCCTTCCTTGGAGGTTTTTAAGGCCCGGCTTGACAAAGCCCTGGCTGGGATGATTTAGTTGGGAATTGGTCCTGCTTTGAGCAGGGGGTTGGACTAGATGACCTCTTGAGGTCCCTTCCAACCCTGATATTCTATGATTCTATGATTCTATGAACCTGGCCAGGCACGAGTCATGGCCCCAGTTTAAAGCCATCCTCACCCAGCCACGCAGGCAGAACCCGGACACCTGGACCTCGCTGTGCAGGGCTGGACAGCTGGGACTCGGACCCTGGACCCTACCGAACGCAGCGGGGACTAGATTTTTTTAGCACATAACTGCGCTGCAGCTCTGTGCTAATTGGGCCACGTGAGGCCCGCAGGTTGAGAACCACTGCATTAGGGTGAGACACTGCTTGATTCAAATCTTGCTTTGTCTGTTTAAGTTAGAATTTAGACTGCGAATTTATTTTGTTTCTTAATTTTGTTTCAACTGTGATCTCTAAGCCTTCTACTTATAATCACTTAAAATCTATCTTTCTGTAGTTAATAAATCTCTTTTCTATTTTACCTAAAGCAGTATGTTTTTGGTTGAAGTGCTGGGAAAATCTCAGCTCAGATTACAATGGCTGGTGCATGTCCATTTTCCTATGAAGGCGTGTCAAACTTAATGAAATTGCAATGACCATGGGAGCCTTGAGCAATGTAAGACAGTGCAGTTCTGGGGTGCAAGGCTGGGGAGCTGTGGGGAAATGGCTGGAGCCTCTGTATTGATGGTTCGTGAGTGGCTGGGAGATCGTTCATGTAACTCATCTGGGTGTGTCCCTGCCTGTGGATTGCTGTGTAACTGCAGTGTCTATCAGAGGTTTGTAGCTTGACATCAGCATCACAGTGTGAGGCACAGCCCAAGCTGGTGGGTTTGGAGTGCTCAGTGGTCCCATAGTCCAGGTTGCACACTGGGGACCCCATCAAGGGGGACTCCCTACTTCAGCCCGCACATAGGGAGCCCAACAACAGAGGGGGGTTGAACATTCAGGTGATAATATCCTGCAATGCAAAGTGGGGCAAAAAGTGGAGAAGATAGACCCATGAAAAGTTGCGGGGGGACCAAGGCCCAGGGGGGAAAACACCCCCTTAATCCATAGCAAATGAGGCCCGACATGCACCTCTGGAGATCTGCATCCTGGCAAGCAGCCCAGGCAAAGCACAGACAGGCACTGACCGCGCTTTCTCCACTAGCCACCTGCCCCATGCCACAGCTCTGCCTGCCACAAGGGTCCCCTGGGCAGTAGTGCAAGTAGGGTGGTACTCTCCAGTACGCAGTACCAGCAAGAGTTAGGGTGTACGGGATACTGGAAAGACTTGGGGCTAACTCTCCCACTCAGGGAGGTGGGTGGTGGGAGGGAAGGGGCTGCGCTCTCCTTAAAGCAGCAGAACACAACTAGGAAGGACATTCATTCTTTATATGTCTTTAGCAGCACTATGCATATGCTAACAAACTTAAACAAAGGCTTTGTTTAAGTTTGTTAACATATGTATTGTGCTGTTAAATGGGTCAGGAGTCCTAAGAGGTGAGCAGTGGGGAATGGGGGGGGGGGGGAGGAGCGGACGGAAGGGACACTGTTTAAACAGTGTTTTTGATTCTGTTTCTCCTCATTGGTCTGAATTATCCATGACATTCATACTGCATCACATCAAGTCCAATAATTAGAGGAATGCCTCTGCTTGCACTGACCAGAGGATGTTTGGATTCTGATGTTAGCCCAGTTCTGCAGCCTGACAGGTATCAGGTGTTGTCCCCCGTATACATAGAATTCTTCTTTGCAGCCAAACTAGTCTAACATGCATTTTGCTAACTGGAACCGGAGCAGCAAAACAAAGAAAACAAATCCCTCATTTTCCAGCTTTGTGGGTGAGGGAACTATAAGTGAAGATTATAATGCTGGACACTGATGACCAGCTGCCTCAGGAATCTGCCAAGAACTTTGCTGAAAATATGATCCTCATCTTAGCAATGAAGCAAAGACTTATTGATCCCAGATTCTCCCAGTATATATGGGGGAGTGTGTTCTCTCTTCTCTGCCCCCTCACAGGTCCGGAACACGAGCCCTGACATCCCACCGGTGCACCAGCACCCTGTTGTTCCTAAGTGTCTGGAGTCTGATGCTATCCAGGCTCTATGCTGTACCTGTGATCCCTCTGAGCCTCTGGAGGTGCTTGCCAGCTGGAGCCCAGGAAGTAAATTGCTGTGCCACATGCACCGATTCTATGGGAATGGGAGCAACCCCCTGGCCCTGCAGCATCGCTACCAGTTCTACGCTGTTGGCAACTCCTCAGGTTGCCCCTGGGAAAGCATTGTCAATAGCATGCAGAGTGCCACCGGATAGTCACTCAAGTTTTGTTATGAAACTAAAACCACCCCAGACTCCATCCCATTCTTTTGTAAACCGTTGTGGTCTCGAACGGGACGTATACCATCAAACACACCCAGTGACAGCCACCTGGGTGGCGGAAGGTGCAGGGTAACCCTGGTTTCCTCCACTGTTTGGGGAACAACCATGCCCCAAGTGTCATCATTGTCATTTATCAGAGGGGTAGCCGTGTTAGTTTGAATCTGTAAAAAGCAACAGAGGGTCCTGTGGCACCTTTAAGACTAACAGAAGTATTGGGAGCATAAGCTTTCGTGGGTAAGAACCTCACTTCTTCAGATGCAAGTCTTGCATCTGAAG